TTGAAGTTCATTTTTCCCCTGAAGTTTTCAAAGTCTCCTCATAAATAAAGTGTTTTAATTAAAACTATTCTAGAGTTCATTTTGAATCAAGTTTAAATATGAAAAATGTGAGTTAAATCAGTAAATTCAGTTGTCTTTGGAGCAGAGATGATGACATTAGAGCAGAAAACACCAAATAATCTGAAGAAATATGTTCAATCGCTAGAAAAATTAAGTAAACTAGAATAATTGCTTAGCCCGAATTCAAAATGCATTCAATGCTCAGACAACCATGCCCTAAGTGTAATTATTATTATTATTTTTACTCTAGAACAAAATTTTCATGCCTACCAAATCTGCTGAAAATACAGCTTACCTGTGTGAGGTCAGGAATGTCACCTTTATCGATACCAACTTGCTGCGGATTAAAAACAAAGAAGTTGTTAGTAGGAATTTAAAAAATAAATTTATTTGCATTTGATGGAAGAGCATAATGGTGTTAGTTAAAATAAGTTTAATTGTGGTATAAAAGAATTAACATATGGATTAGGAAATCTCATAAGCTCTTTGTCATTTTCTATTCAATATAACAGAGCAATAATTTCAATAATATAATTAGATAAAACAAATGTACAGAATTTTGTGAAACTCCAAGGATTTAAAAGAAATGGCAAAGAGTAACAGGCAGCTAATAAGATAGTAAAATGCTTAGGCTAAATTTAAATTATGAATCAATCCCAGTACATCAGTAAATCCTCTGGACAGAGAATTCATTTCTTCAAAAACTAAACAAAACAAACTATTGATCAGGGTGCATGAGCTGATAAATGACTTTCAGTGTTTTTCCTGTTTCTACCTTCACTCTCCTGAGAACATTACTTTGTTAGTTTCTTATATATCCAGTCTCCCTTTTAACATGTATATATAGAAATATAAATCACCTTGTTTGGGGTATGTTTTTTGTGTAAGAATAACCCTGAATTTTACTCTCTGATATAATTGCAGTACTTTTCTTTTAATAGGTGAGTTAAACTCCTACACATTATTGATGTCTTAGGTAATTATTTATTTCATTTATTTTATTTCTCATTTTAAGAGTTTAACATGTTCATATTTCTGATACTTATGAAAATAATCTTGTTCTAGTGATTATCCTGATAATTATAACTTGATATAAAAATCTTAGATTTGAATCTCGTTAGAGTAAGTTTGCAGAATGATTATCCAATTGGCATGTGGGAGCAAACAGAACAGTTCTGACTGAGTGTATCAGTCTGGGTACTTTGGAGAAACAAATCCATGGCGACTCACGTATAAGAGAGAGTTTTATGTAAAGAAAAGGTGCATCACGAAAACATCCCAACCCAATGCTGCCCAAGCCCACAAGTCCAACATTAACCCATTAATCCAACACCAGTCCACAAAGTCCTCCACCTCACAAAACAGAGGCAATGATGCCGACTGCAGGAGGAAAGCTGAGTCCGTGAACGAATAAGCATCTCAGCACTAGCAGGGGTCTCAACACGGCTGCTGTATCGGGATAGGTCCATGCGGCTTCTCCTTGGGGATGTCTTGTAGGACGTCAATCTTGCAAGCTGAAGCAGGGAGCTGCTAAGGCAGCTGCATCCTGGTGCGACCATCACAAAGCAAGAGACCCGAGAACCAGAAAGGCGAGGCTTCACCACCCATTTATCCCTCCACCTTTCAACCAGCACCACATGTGATTATCGGCCAGGCTGGCACAATTAACTAACTCACTGAGTAATTGATTAAGTTTACTTCCAACATCAGTACCATCTGTAATACACTCTGGCCAAATGCCTTCTCAGATGGTAACGTATATTTCACACCCCAGGTACAGACCCAATTCCCAGCAAAGCTTACTGTGACTTACCTCGGCCACTTTGAGAAATTCAGACACTCGTGTCATTCTGGTGAGGAAGCGTTTGTAAATTTCTAGTGCATCTTTACATTGTCCCTTCTTCATTTCAAAGAACTTTTCTAGAAAAAAATAAAGAAATAAGCAACTTGAAAATCTAGGGTCTTATCTCCAAGTTTATTCTAAGCTGACGTTAAGATTACTTCTTAAAAACCTAACGTTTGAATCAAAACACCTGGCATGAAAACCTAAAGAAAGTATTAAAGCACCTAAACAACAGAGGCTTGAGTAGCTTAAGGAAGGTGTTAGGTTCTCAAATAATAATCTGTCTCATGCAAAACAATTTAAATACTAAGAAGGAAAGCAAAAGAAAGTATGAGTTGTCACAAAGGGTTAAATTCATGATCCATGTATCCCAGTATTATGTCTAAGAAAATAGCAGCAAATTCTTCCTGATGAAAATCTCAAAAATTTCGACAGCATTCTACATTATCTTTGTTTTCTTACTAGGCTATTACAAACTAGTAACCTAAACATTATAAATCAATAACTAGATACCTTTCTGAATTAAAGAATTCTTTAAACTCTCTATATTCAGGATAAATTGATGTTTTATTGATCTATAATTAACATATCATACAATTCAATGGTTCAATCATATCAAGAAGGGCTGTGCAGTCATCCTCACAAACGACTCGTAGCTACTTCCCTCTCTTTTACACCCCTCTCCCTCTCCCTCCAGCATCTGCATATTTCCATCAATCCTACTGTCAGATAGTTACAGGTAACTATAGAAGACTAGGACAGACACCAAGGAAGGATCCATCAAGAATACTCATACAAAACTGACGAGACCTCATCTAATAGAAAGCAGAGAATATTAAATTTAAAATACTAAAAGCAAATTCACTTCGGGTCCATAGGGAAATCATATTACATGGCATTCCATTCCATCCTGTGAACAGTTGCTAAACTCTCCTTTACAATGCTTACCATCTGATTTTTGGGTGATTGTCATTTCTAGTTAATGTGCACTGGGGATTCATTGGAGGCTTATCCCATGCAGTGACCCTGTAAATAGATTTTGAACCACCACTATCATTCATCGTTTATTTCAGTCCAACTATTTAGGATTGGTCACTGGCACCATTTTCGTTCAAGGTTTCGATCTTATTAGCTATCTTTGGATCACACAGTTGGTGTGCCTCTTTCATGTGAATTTAGCTAAGTTCACGTAGCTAAGACTCCTCACTTTGATGGATGCTTGTTTTGAGACAAGCCTTTAAGACCCCGGATGTTATTATTCATCCTGGTTGGATGCTGTACTTTTATTGGTGGTAAATTAGCTTTTTTGGGGGGTCACATTAAACTGTCTTTTAGTTATGAAAGAGTGCAATAAAAGCAAACAAAAGAAGAGCCCTTTGGTTTGGCAAGCCCTCCATGATTTGTACTCTATAACCATAACCTTTCTCAAACTTTGCTTTCTCAACAAAAGGACAGAGGATTAACTTGCTACTCTTTTTTGTAGCACTCTACAAGTCTACACTGTGTGAGTCTAACACTCCGACTTCACAGTCGCATAGGTACTAAAGATTTGTTATGACTGCAACATGAGAATAGGTTTACCCCAATATATATATTTAAAGAAAACCAGCATTTTATTAAGTGTTTTCATTGGTATTCATCAGTTATTCATCGATTCGTTCAGCCAATAGTTACTGACACAATAGATGGAGACACAATAAGCCAGTGCCTACAATGCTTCCAGGCAACTGTACACAACTGACAACCGAATATTTTCATTATTTTATATTTGCAAATGATTCAACATGTTATTTTTATATTTTCTCATGCTTGAAAGTTCTTGACTTCATTCAGTGTGTAATTTTACTAACCCCAAAGTAACTTTAATTGTTTCAACAAAGATTTAATAGCATATAATTTAAACAAAGAATGAATTATCAAGGGCAACTACTCATTACCTTTTGTTGACAGTCTTTTGTTAAGTTTACTTTTAACATAGACCTCCCTTGTAGAAAATTCAAGGGAGGCAAAAAGTTCAAGAAAACAAACCCATACTGCCTTCTACTTGTTAAGATTTGAGGATAAATCTTGTTAAAATCTAAGGATATTTTCTTGTCCAGTCTTTATCCTGCTTCCTATTAGAGATAGAATCATGGTGAGATAGGGGGACAAATGCTCTTTAGTTTAAAAATTTGAAAATAAGGAGCTTCCCTAAATGAAATTTTCACCCAATGAAAAGGAAAGCCAAACTGAGCCATTCCATGTAAACTATGACTCATACATATTAGTTAGTGTGGGAAACATCTTCTTACACACAAGTTAGAGCTACATTCCAGCTATAAAACATCTGTGAAGTTGTAGTAAGAATATTAACTTTAAAGTAAGAACTCATGAATTTCTTGATAGACTAATCTAGAATATACTTATAAGGTTAACTCCTATCTGTATTGAAGAATTAAAAAAAATGCCTGCCACAAAACACTTTGGATATTGTCTTGCACATCTGTTTTCTAGACTTACATGAACAAGAGCAGCTTTGACAATTATGTTGAATGAAAGCCCCTTGACATTGGAATGCTATTAGGGAAAACCATATTCTTCCACGATTTTTGCAGAGAAAAATTAGGTACTTAATATAACAAAGGGTAATTCTTTATTTCTGCTCCTAGAGCTTAGCCAACAGATTATTTTTTAGATGACTATTATTTTATTATGTTATTATTACTGCAATCTGTAAAGTCAACATAAAAAGAAAAAACATATTTATGTAGCTGTTCTAACAACAATAGGGTGAATCAAATGATTCAACATGTTCAATTGCTAACTGAATTGTTAAGATAGTAAATGCAGTGTTCTGGACCAGTCACGGTGGGAATGGATAAAGGCATACATTGGTAATGGTGTATGAGGATGAATCAGAAGAACTTCATTTCTTACTGGATATTGATTTTAGAAAGATGAACAGTATAATTGTTGTTTTAGGTTTAAAAGAGTAATTACATATAAACAGAAATAAAGAGATTAGAAGGGGAAAGTTCAAAGATTTCATCTAGGAGATTCTGAGTTTTAAGTGAAAATAGTGTCTGTTTATACATCTACAAGAAAAAAACTGCAGCTTGGGGGTGTGGGGGCAGGGAGTAACAGAGGATTTGGAACTCCTCATAATGGAGATGATAGACTTTTCAAGGGAGGAAATACAGATGTAGCAGGAAAGTAAAATAAGGGTGGAAATGAACTTTAGTGACTGCTCACTGAAAAGCTCACTTTGGATTTGCTTCTCATTAGTAAATTCATAAACGTTAAATTAAGTTAAGCCAGCAGAACAAATAACACATTGTATACTGTTTGGAGCTTACTGATAAATGTTGCAGCCTAAAATAAAAGCATTCCTAATTGTGAATTGCAATCTTCAGGACAGGAATCTTCCTGCACTGGAAACAAAACTTTCTAGAGCACTGTGTTTGATGTTGGTAGCTGGGTCAGCCAAATTCCTTCATCTTTTCCTACATTCAAGAAGGCTATGGACACAAACTTACTGAAAAATAAGTCCTCTTCCTGTACAAGTAGGTTTAAAAGATTAATTATATATAAACAGAAATAAAGAGATTAGAAGGGGAAAGTTCTAAAATTTTGGCTGTTTCTTCTGCAGCATTCACTTGCCTACCTTCTAGCTTCTGAGGGTTTGAGGAGAAATGGTCATAGTCCCAGGCTCTTGACCTAACTCCTAGCTTCCTGGATTCTAGCTTCAAGTATCTCTTCTCCAGCCTTCTAGTGTTGCCAGGCAGCTATGGCAGGGGCCACAGCTACGTATATCTAGAAATCCTTAAAGTTGTGACCTCAAAAGTAGTGTCTCTTAAATGGTAGTAAATCCCTATTATTTTTAAAGTCCTTGAACTAGTTCTTGCAGGCCTCCAGTCATTATAGAAGCGCTTGATCCTCTGTATTACATCTCTTTCCATTGACGGTCTGTTGAGAAGTTTCTGTTTCTGAAACATGGCATTTACTGTAGTACATAAAATGGTTTTAGACAGCATGCCCTTAAGAAGTCGGATAGGAATCTGGGATTAGATATGTAACCCGATCAGGTTTGAAGACAGTGGTGACCACCTGCAACGATTGGAAAACAGAATTCTCGTAGTCTACGCGATTATAGGCCCAAACTAATTACTTAAATCATCACCGATGGTTTTCAGGAATGAGCACCAGGAATGAAAACTCACCACGCTGGAACAGATCCATGGTGGGAACGAGAAAAATGGAACTGTGGGAGAGAAGGCTTCTCTGACTCCATTAGAAAGTTCAAGAAAGAAAATCACCGCAATACAACATTCTGAAGACTGGT